GGGAGCAGACCTTTAGCTGATCAATTTTGCATCCTGCTGCTAAGAGCTAGTCAATCCCTTCGGTGCTTGCTGAGGGCCACAAGGCAGAGGCTCCATCTGCCGTCTGGAACATTATCTTGAGGGAAGGCACCTTGCTGTATCAAAGAAAAGCCCAAAGACTGAAGCAGGTCTTACTCCTTTATAGTGTTTTGGTTTGTTTTGTCTGTTTTTGCAGTTACTGGGTAAAACAGAGCAGCAGTCCTGAGAGCCCAGGTTCCCCCTGAGGGCAAATGGGTCTTTTAGCCAAATGCTTCACTGATGCTGCATCCTTTCCATCYTCACTGGCTGACGTGCTTGCTTTTTTCCAGAAAGATAGTCCCTCATAAGGACCTCTAGCCAGCTGATTAAGACACTGCGATCAGGAACTGAGTCCCTGAGGCTGCTTGTCACATTTCCTAGCAAATATTGTGACCTCCCTGCCACTGTAGACCATGAAAAGATCTAAGGACATGCAAAGGGACAGTGCCACAGCTGCCACCCGCAGCTTTAGCTTCTGGTTTCTACACGGTGCCCTGCCCCGACAGTTCATGTCCAGTGTGCTTGGGCAAAAGATGGTCAATGTGCCCTACCTGCATAGCGTTAAATGATCTTCCCTTCCTCAGTACTTGCTGTATGCATATAATCAGTATTCTTCATTTTGTGTTACGACGTTTCCCTGGTTTAATTTTCTCTTCACTGTAGAAACCTATTAAAAGGAAATGATGGAGCAAGCAACTAGAACTTATAGGTGTAATGTGCAGTTGTTTCCATAATCAAAAGAAAATAAAGTCCGGTGGATCATGTAATAGAAAAATGAAAGAAGTCTGAGCACCACCCCCTGCAGGATTTGCTCAGTGAATATAAGGCAGTGCTGATGGCAACACTTCTTGTTGCCGATGCTTTATAAGGTAATAGGAACTGCATTATGCACAATGTAATTCTGGCGTGTGCTTTTAGTATACTTCTAATGTACAAATGTCGATGTGATGGTTTTAAATGAGCACACTTTCCCCTTGTAGATAAAAAGGGGAGGGAAGAGGGAAGAAGCAGCAAAAAGAAAAAGAGAAAAAAAAATGCAGCATCTTCTCTCAGAATGGAGAAGAAGAATAAAGAGACCTTTTACCACATGGGATGTTTTAGGCTTCCATGTCTTTTCTCAGCAGCCACACATCTCTGTGTAACCAACACAGTTCCAGATGAAAAGACTTTCTACATCCAAAGTGTAGCTGCAAATCCTTGTTAATGAGAACACACTCAGCTGCTGTTGCTGCTCGAAAGGCACTTGCACGGATTTTTTTTGGCACCCGTATTGTCCATTGTTTTTATTTGTACAGAGCTAGGGCTCTCATGTGAATGCATAGACTCATGGACATTTACATGCATAAGGTAGTTGCTTCTAATTTATTCCTTTGGGCTGAGGTGAGCAGGAAATGGAAGAAAGAAAGATGGTTTCTGAGTCCCTTAATAAGGTTCAAAGGGATTTTAGTTATAAATGATATTTTGAATGTCAAAAAAAATCTATATCAACAGTTGCTTCTTTTCAGTAGCTTCTTTGTCACTGCTACAAAATTCACCACAGGGAGTGTATAGGAAAAAGTGGAAAATTCATAGTACATTGCCCTCTCTGCTGGAACTGTTGTCTTTCATTTTATAAATAACAGAAATTAGCTGCTGAAAGATTGGATGGGAAGAAGAGGCCATCTTTTTTCTTTCAGTGTAATCCATTTTCCTTTAGATCCCCATTATATGTGAAACTATGTAGGTTAAAATCCTTGGAGACAGAAGCTTTCTGAATGTTTTCCCAGAAATCTCAGTGATACAGTGAGAAGTCACTACTTTGTGTCTTGGTCATCCCAGCTGTATGCTGCAGAATAAAGCAGAAGTCTCCTACAATTCATTTGCTGTGGCATCTTATGTTAGTTAAATATGATCCAAAAAGAAAGCTAAGAGGAGACAGAGAAGTGATGAGTTACCATAGTAAAGCTAATACTTACGCAGATAGGAAACCACATTTCCCCTGTGGTTGGCAGAGTTAGCATAACATCTTGTTTTTTATCCTCCTTGAGTCCTGCTTGCTCCTTTGTTTTAGTCATTTATTAGTTTATTCCAGAAATCCTGGTCGGATGAGTGGAGCACAGATACTCAAGGTTCAAGCAGCTTGACTGTGTGCATGAATTTAACCTGGTCCTATGAGGATGCTTCACTGTGGGATGGTGGGTACCTCTCTCAGCTGGAAACTCCTAGCCAAAAGGATGCCTGATAGAAAAACAGAAAGGGTTGTTATGACCAGCTCCAACCATGTCTGCGAGTCCTTCCAGGGAAGTAAAAAGGAAAAGGCTGTATTTACTCTGGTTTTCCTTTTACAGACCTAATTTTCTCTGCTGGTCAAGCCACCAAGGTCAAACTTGAGTGGACAGCACAAGCCTAGGAGCTGGTGTTCCCGGAGATGAGCRAGAATCCTTGACACCCTGTGTGATAAAAAAAAAGTTCCTACTCTAAGWTTCTTAAGGTTTTGGCCACTATTATTTCCTCTTGCAAAGCTGTTAAACATGCAGCACCTGCATGTGTAATATATAATTTACCTGGATAAAACAAGTGGTAGCACTTGGACAAAGGGCCTCCTATTTTAAAGAGGTAGGAAACCTGCGGYCATAAAATAAGTAGCTCAAGTTACAGCATAGGTGCTTTAGGAATTAATTTTTAAATATTATCATTTGAATGAGATGATTCMAGTGAAAACCCTCCCTTGAAGAGTACGTGCAAGAGGCTTCAAACAAGAAAATCTCCATCCCAAGGGATTGTATGCAGAAACAGTGTCCTCAGCATATGTGTTTATGGGTCCCAGTTACGGTTGTCGACCCTGCAATAAAAAGATTAAGGAGTATCTTTGCCTCGCAGTTTTAAGGAACCCAGCACACCCTTTGCTTCTTTTGCAAATAACAGGGGAGCTTTTGGAACATAGTGGACTTAAAATAGCAGTCAAGAATGAGACTGTCAATGCAAATGGACTCTTTTGAGAGTGCAATCCAAATACCCAAACTAAAAGGTAGCTTCCCTGTCACTGCAGTTTTGCTGTGTGAGGAGAAAGCAGCACAAAATCCTGGGAGGTGMGTGGAGGATGTGCATCTTGGCACTGCCCCTTGGAGCCTTGGCAAGCAAACAGGGGTTGCAGTGGGATGAGTAGGGTTATATAGGAAATGAGGGAAAGCTACATTAAAAGTGCAAGAAAARCCCTTCTTTGTACTTTCTTTAATTACTAGTTCTGTCTTAGTTCAGTCTAAATGCTATGCAGTGTCTTCATGAGATGGAAGAAACCTATTTGCTCCCAAAATACGTGATCCTAGACATGAGAGAGGAGGCTGTTACAGCTGCACCTGATTCCCCAACACCTGCTTGCTTCTTTACTGAATTAGTGGAGTGCTCCGAAAACTAGCTTCTTCCCTGGTACCACTTTGAAATTACTAACATTTTATTTTGCTTTGTCAAGACAGTCTTACACAAAAACAAAGATGGAGATCTTTAAATTATTCAACCACTCCATGCAAATAGTAAGTAATTTTTGCAGTGCCCTGGTGAGGAAGCTAATGATATGTTGTCCTTTCCAACAGGGAGAGGCAATAAGCTTGAATCACTGTCTCCAGAGCTGTGCATAATTTTGAACTAGAATTTCCTGGGCTCAGGTGAAATTCTGGACAAAGCTTTAGTTTGATCAGGTTATAATTCTTCATTTTCCATTTTGTCTCACCAAAAACTAGGCTTGGAGGAATGTCCCTTGGCTGAGATGCTGGAATGTGTTCATAAAGGATTTACCCRAACCTCTCACAGTGAAGAATGGCACTGTAAGTGCCACAGAAATAAATTTTTGAGGGTAGATGAGTCACCTAGGTTTCATTGCATTAGTAATGACAAAAAGCAATTCTGTCACTAACCCAAATTCTACGTTGGCTGCCTTAAATGCTGTTGCTCTATCCTCTGGGACTGGTCTGGCTGCCTCAATCCAGCCATGGTGCTGGTTTAGGGTCCTGTCTTAGGAGAGGCAGCCCCTAATTTAATGTGCTAAGCATGTGTAAATCTGCACCCACGTTCAGTGCAGGCCCTTAGTAATTTGCATTTGGCTTGAGGTTTGAAACAGGTTTTATATCTCTTCCAAGATCTGCCACCTACAACAGCTCCATTATCTTGTGAGTGACTCACCAAATTGTTACAGCAACGAGTTCCTCATCCTAATTAAGGCAGCAGCAACCTGAACTCTTTCCTTGCATAGGTTTCATGTCCCTTTCTCTCTGCCATTCTTTGGCTTGCTGTCCTTTGAGCTGTCCACTCTGCTTGTCCTCATGCTAACCTGCCCCATGCCTGACACAAGAGTTTCCCATGCTCGTGGTCACTCTCTTCATCATGTCCTAGGATCACTGTGGCTTACACAGCAACGCTAGGGAAAAAAACACTGTTGCTAATCCATCCTGACATCTTGCTAATTTTAGACCTTAGGTGGACTTTTGCTGGAGATGTCAAATTGCACTTGCTGATGAGGGCAATCAGTCGTGCAATTTTGATCTCTGAGTAATCCGAAAAAAACACCTTTATCCCTGAACACATCCTCTTCTGATTCTTCATCACCATTGCAGACATGCTCTTGAGCTTTAAAACAAAGCAAGAATCAGAATTATTAGGTAAATTCTGTAACTTGTCCYATGTCGCACCAAACCTTGATCCCAAAAAGAACTTCTAGCTTGATCCTTAGRTGAAATCCAGCACTGTTTTTCTGGAATACTTCTGAAACTACCTTTTCTCCTTGACCAGAACTGACAATTTCTGCGTGTTCTAAATACCCATTTTTAATGTTGAAAAAATAACTTATTTCCTAATCAAGTAATGTAGTACAATCTGATTTACAGCAATTCTTTGCCTCGGTTTCCAACATTCTAAGAAAGGGTTTAAAAATGGCATTATCCTGATTTTTTTACAGAAGGAGAATATGGGACAGGGAAAAATGAAGCAATTTGACAAAAGTCACTCAAGAAGTCCACTAGGATAAATGAGAGCTGAACTGAGCATTGTGATATCCTGTTACATTTCTGGTAAGCTGTTCACTAAGTCATTCTATATTTATGCCATAGCTCTGCTTATTTTATTTAAGCTATATAGAAATGAGAAGTCCATTCTCTGAACAGTGCAAGCATGCATGTGTAAACTGGTATGACAAGTAGCTCCTTAAGCTTTACTTCCACCTGGATACSTATAGAAAACTGCCATCTGCTAACTGGTTGAATAGTGAATTTTGACTTTTTGTTATTGACTAGGCTAGAGTTTATCACAGAGTGAGACACTAGTATTCTAATTGTTCTAATATTATTTGTCGTCCTGGCTCTCTAAAGYGGAGAATGGAGATTCCTGCTCCAGCATGTCAAGGCATTTGTCCTATATCCTAAATACACAAACACTGGTGCTGTTTAAGATGGCAATCTTATCAAGCTATCTTTCTTTGTTTTCTGTTCCCCTTGAGAAACAGGACCCAAGATCTGTTTGTGAGCTACCTGTCAACCAGACAATACAGTTAACCACCGATTTTCACACCGAGCAGATTATATAGGGTCATTTGAACAATTGAGGTTTTTGGGAGCACATGCATTCCCTCCAAGAGTGCACCTCAAGAGAAGCCTAATGTAGGTTGACCAGACTGATGTATCTGATTTTGCTGGAACCAGCACAGCAAATCTGCTGATATAATAAGCACTCTTTGCTCCTGACGGCTAGAATCAGTGCTTACCACGGGAGCTATCTACCTCTGAAGTGCATGACTACTGCCAATCAAACCCGGGCAGAAGCACATTTCTGGGTGGCAGATTGATGCTTGGGTGCGTCAGCAGCTCATTTTACCTTATTCCATGTTTAAGTCTGATAATGTTTAAGTGGAAGCAAAGTTTCAGTTAATAGGTTTGTATCATTATGGAATATTTACACAACACTTAACACACGTTGTTGTCATTGCCACCATAGACCAGTTAGCCCTTGGACAGTGTTTGTCTCATTTTACTCCAGCAATGAGTTTACCACAGSTTGTTTTCAAATACATTCTCTCATATATGCTGCCAATACCTGGATATTCCCATGTGTGCTTTTGCTAATAGACCTCTCTCTGGATCCTTGTCTCGGGRCCACCTATGGCATGGGGACTGTTTGCTGTAACAAAGGTTGCCCCATTCCTATTCCGTTTTATCAGTGACTTTCATGCTGGCTAGAGAATAAATGCAAAGCAATAAGTAAAGTTACTATGAGGAATGATGATCAGCAAAATGTAAAATATTGTAAGTATTATGAAAAAAGATGGAAACCTCATTTCGAGCACGTTTTTATAAATGGAGTTACATTGTTCAGATTTGATAGCTTCAGTCTTGTGCAGTAGTAGACAAGCAAAAGTGAATTATTATTACAGCTTTTGCTATAATTTAAGATCTAACTTTGGTCAGGCTTGCAAATTAAGGAGTTTTTCTTTGTTTAAAAAATTGGGACCTTGAAACTTCCTATTCTCAATGAAGTGAATAGAAAATCTGCTTCGTTACTATAGAAAAGAGAACATAGATAAGAGAGCATAAGCATCACCATCTGAGAACAAACAATAACCAGAAATTTCACTGAATGAAATGGTGTAACACGAATTTGCCCATGTTTCCATGATTCAAGCAACTTGGACCACCAGGCATATGTGGAAGTATCTTTCTTCCCCAACAGAAATTATCCTACTTCATATATTTAGCCAAGCATCTACTAACCCTAAAAGGGAGATAAGGACTTCAGGTTGGSTTGGATAACACCTCAAGTTACTAACCAGGGTACTTGTTAGTACAAATCTCAGTCTCTTTCTCCCCCCAGAAGTAATTCTGGGTTTGGTAAACCTTCTAAATCAATGCAGTGAGTTAAATGAACCTTTCCATAGAAAGCTTCTGTTGTACTCAACTGATACCTTTTCCTCGAAAAGACTATTAACTATTTATTCCATATGGATATTGCTTCATATATGCAACATGGAAATGCCATCTATTGTGGTTGCCTTATTTTGCAAAAAGTATTTACTTTAGATGATCAGAACAGCAAACAGTTCTTGTCCTAGCTGCTTTTGTGTTTTTTCTTAGATATCAAAAAAAAGATGTCTGGAGAGTACTTCTTTCTACAATCATCCTGTTGAGAGATTTCTCAACTCTGCTACTGTTGAAAAGAGGTAAGCAGCAAAGCCTGAAAGATACTGAATCTGCATTCCTARAAAAAAGAATTTTTAGTCTTTTGCTGCAGTAAAAATGGAAAATAATTTTAATAATTGAAAGTCTCTCAATACACAGATATACAGATAAGTCCCTCTAACTTACGTAAATTGGAAAATGATTACCAGAAACAAAATCTAGTCACTCTGCCATGAACGGCACTACTGTTTTGACATCTGGTCTAATGTGATTTTGTAACATCTTCCACATGCTGCACAGGATGCTTTCTAACAGACTGTAACGCAGCTAAGTTCCACATAAATGTGGTGGTGATCTTGAGGTGGCGTTTGTCAGTAAGATTCACAAAGAAGGTGACTTTCAAGTGCTTGGTCTGAAATCTCAGGAGTGGAGGAAAGGTCATGTAGCTCATGTAAAATATATTTAGTGGTAAAGTGAATAAGAAACAGTTACTTAGCTATGTGGGGGGAGTACAAGATTCATGAAATTTCATAGATCAAGGCTCACTATTTTTGTTAATTCTGCTGCTGTGGTGAATGATGCAGGATTAGAATTTCCTTCTAGAGAAACAATTAACAATTACCAGCAGTTTCAAAACCTTCTTTCTCCTCTTTCTGAAATGTTTCTTTGTTCTTCAAATGTGGTTTCTACTTAATGTAACCTTTCAGTAGAAAACAGGGATAAGTGGACAAAAGTAAGGAAGAACACCTAATATGTCTTTCTGTTTAATCTTTTGTGCCAAACAAGTCTATAAGTATATTTTCTCTATTTTCATAACTTATTTTAGAGAAGTTAGAACAATGCTGTATGAAAACAGTAACTTGACTTAAAATATCAAAGAAGGACATGCCGAAATAGTGGCACGGAACTTCTTCCATCCACTCAGTATTAGTTTTGGACRTATTTATTTTTACAGAAGCATATATATGGCCAAATGTGTAAAACTTTATGGCACTCTTAGAATAATATGTACAGCCTTAGTTGTCTCAAAAAATGTGCACACATGCGAGAAGATAGATTTGGTGTAAGGACATGCACTTGAGCTCAAATTTTGTTTCYCAGCAGCTCATTGAGGGTGCATTACTGCAGGACAGTTAAGAAAATATTTCTGTGGACAGAGCTAATTACAGAGGTCTATTTTTTTATCACTCATCTCTTGAAGGACACCTTCCCACGAATGGAAACGCAGAGCTATTTATCCACCTTATATTTCCTGTTGAAATATATTGAATGTGAAATATTTCCTCATGAAAAATGCTSTTTACAGCGCTGTTCCTGCCCATATAAAATTTATTTATGCCTCTTTTAGTGAATGTGGGTTGTAGTGTTTTTGACAAAGATCACAATTCTATGTGAATGGTGAACAGAAGTATTTCCTACAAGGCATTTTGGTTGAAGGAAGCCCAAGAGATACAAGCTGAGGAGAACRGAGAGGCACAGTTTGTTTAGCCATTGCTGCAACCTAAAGCAAGAGGCTTTGTGAAAATTGTAGACAGAAGGCAGTGTGCATGTTGGAAGTTAATTGACAGGGCAAGGAACAATGGGAAAGAAGGGAACATCACCTTGCACTGGAAGGGCCAGAAACACCACGAGCTGGTGAGGCCTAAGAGAAGGTAAGGGCCTGATCAAATGCTTCTCAGTTGCATCATATGTTATGTGTGAAACAGGAAACTACTTAGATCTAAARAGACCAAAGAAGTGAGATGAATGGAGAAGAAAAAAAAAGGCGATGGAAAAGGAAAGAGACACAGCTCAAACATCCAAGACATGAGGAAGAGAGAAGCTCAGAGAAAGAAAATGCAGCTTGCCCAGTTTTCTGTGGACATATACTTTTCTTTATTCCTCCCGAGAAACCTAACCAGACTTGGAGCGCTGTTACAGCTTAAAGTCCAGTATTTCTGGACTCCACCTGGCCTGGCCAGAGGCCCCAGGAACTGCTGACCTCCAGAAAGCCCAGGTTGGTGGTGCCGCATGGGTAGCTGATGCCAAGCAGTGTCGTTTCTGGTGACTTGTGTGACTACTGTGYGGCCCGTGCAACAGTGCAGATGCCAGAACACTCTGGTTCCATCGCACATGTGTTTGATCATAAAGACCATAGGAAGAGTCAAGGTGTGAAGTGAAACTGCTTGAGTCAGAAGTTTAGATAAAGAAAAAGAAGATACAAGTTAGATCATCTCTGTTTTTTTTTAGATTTTCCCATTACTTCCGTTGTAATAATTTGGAATAAAACCTGAAAAGTGCTGCAGAGTGAAGCCATCCCTGTGTGCCTTGAGTAATGACTACAACAACTAGGATTGTGTGGGATACTCCGGGTTTGGAGGGGTAGGTTGGCAAGTGCAGGCATTAGAGGACGAGAGAGGTCATGTCTGCAAACTATGCAAAAAGGCACAGCATGTCATTTTCTTCAGGGAGATTGCTAATCAAAAGCTAAGGACATATCCTTTGTCAACTTCACATTTTGCTATGCTTTTTTGTTATACAGATATATAGAAAATGTGTAAATATAGAAAATGTGTATATATACAGAGATATAGCTAAACTTTTAAGTGCTTAGTTATAATTCAACAAACTATTAGAAATTTTCTTTCCTGGTACCTTTCATGTTTCAATCCCAAGACAGGAGAAAAGAGCTGGGAGCAAAACTGTTCTCAATACAAATCAGATCAGCCCCTTCAGTTTCTTTGTTATGGTAATTGGTAATTACAGAAAGAAAAAAAAATCTTAATTTAAAATGAAGATTGCTCGAGCACCTTCCCTACACATGATCTGTCAGCAGCCCACCTTTGCTGACAATATATACTGGAGGCTAGAAGAGGTCACAAAAACTCTCTAAAAAGTCACCAGCCAAAGATCTCTGTGGAGTAGCTAGGGAACAAATACGAGGCACGAGGCAGTCCTGAAACTTGGGATAGTTAAAATAGGATCCAGCAGGAGGAAAGTCATTGACATATTATATTCCACCCCTGTTCAGCTTGGCGAACTTGAAAACTGCATATCACCTGCAGAACCATAAGGAAAGCTTCAGGCCAAAATCAATGGCTTAAAGAAGGTTAACCCCTCTCAGGCTGGAATCATTATGACGTCTTATCTAATTAGCTAATTTGCACTAGAAGTTTCTGCCCGGTTTCTATTTTCATCCTCAGTTGAGCATTTGGTTAGACTTCACCATAGRCATCCGAGTACCAGTGCTCACCTTCCCTCGGCCCTTAGGTAAGTTTTGCTGATAGTCAGTGCTGAGTTTTGCTCCCCACAACRTTGCTGAGCTGCTCGTGCAAGTATCCGGGGGATTAATATATCCTAGCACTGAGGAAATTGGTCATAAATTGACTCAAACATCACCCTGTGTCCTTGTTTCCTTTTGAATGCTTTTAGGGGTTTGCCTTGCAAGTGTGACAGGGTATGCATGCTTATGTAAATATATATATATATATATCCATTATATACTGTTTTGTGCCTGTTTTTTTTTCTGAGCTATTATAAAATGTGAAGCAAAGAAAAATCCACTGATGCTAAAGAAAATTGCAGATTACTTCTGATTCTTGACAGTGTTAAAATAAAGATGCAGTCTTCCCGGAAATGTAAAATAGGCATTGCTGCATGTGCTCTGCTACAGCATGAACAAGTCTGCCAGCAGGCAATAAATGAGCAATGTTGGTGACTGCTGAACCTTGAACAACTACATTGCACTGGTAACTGTGGGATGAGTAAACTCAAATGTGGTCACAAACTGTAGAGTATTATTTTATAGAACATTGTGTTTGATCATCAAACTTTTAATGTAAAGGTAGAAAGAAGTGACTATAAATACTAAGTGAAAAATTACCTAGCAATCATGTCACACCAACACAAGATATCTGCCTGCAGCAGAGCAAACTTAGGGTCAAATCTAACTTCCATTAAGAGGCTGAATAGCATTTTTTATAGATAACATGAGAAAAGCTAACAAAATCTGCTGTTCTGATTTTTGGTGTGCAGGGAATGGTACTTTGTTATTTACCAATAATTTCTTAGTTTTGGTAGCATTAACTGGAGTTCCACTGGTTTTATCCAGTTCCACTGGTACTTTTAAACCAGGCTTTGCAATGTGAGATTTTCAAAGAGCTGTTTTGATGTTGCTGATAATTCTTTCCTCTCTCTTAAAACCAGTTGCAGTATTGCTGTCWCTCACAACATGTTGTATATGGTGTTTTTCTATAGTATGTTGTGTCAGAACTAAAGCGATGATTTGTGGTAAGTAAATTCATATGGGAATGTCTCAGAGTATGTAGTGCACATGAGAAAAATAGCTGCTACAAGAAAAATAATGTTTATTCTGTGGTACACAATTGTTATAAGCTCTGAGTCATGTGCTCTCTGGCTTTATAGCTTTGGGCATCTAAGGGCCACATAAGAGCAGCCCTAACCAGCATCCCATGTCCATGGGCGCCGATGCATTTGGCACTGACTTGCAGAGGCTTTTGCTGGAGCCAGCACAGCTGGTCGAGTATTTTCAGAGACATAAAAATTAGGTCTTTCAGCTGTGGTTAGGCAACAAAGAGAGATCCATGACAAAATGTCCAACTTTCTTTGCGAAGCTCTTGAGATGGATTTTCCCATCCATAGCCCCTACCTCTGTGATGGGTTGCACTTGGTGGCGCATGGTTTTCCTGTTCAAAGGAATACATGTCAGTGTGAAAAGTTAGCTTATTTGTTAGGGATCATGTTAGGAAGTGGCAGTGGCTTCTGATAACCACAAACAAGGGCTTTCCTGCTGATTCTGTAATCCAGAAGTGGAAGCATTGTCGCCTTCACCATTTCCTCAGCACTTTCTGCACTTCTTTATAGGTCCCTTGTTCATCTAATGACCAGGCCAAAATTTTACATGGCCCTGTAAAAGCTTGTACTGGCATAAAACAGAAAATTAAGACTGGAGCTGTCCAGACTGGAGCTGACCACCCTCTCAGAGCACCCAAAACTCATAACCACTCAGCAGCTTCTTCACCAGCTGTTCCCTGTCCCTGCCAAGGACAGCACTGTCGGGAACATGAGGCAGCCAGCCCTGAGGGATGATTTTCCCAGTTTATTTTGTCTATTGCAATGTGTTGGCCAGAGCCCTTCATTGCCCACAAATTGGGAGCAGGACCGTAGTACCAGCTGCTCTGTCCTGCATGTGGCAGCATCTCATAGGATATGTCCAATTGCAAACTCTGAGCAAAATTTGGAGAATCCGGACATGTTGCCCAGAAACACCTGGGAAGCCAGAGCAATAGCAGCCCTTCTGATGGCCTGCCAAGGTTCAAAAAACCCACCACCTCCTGATGCACAGGAGGTCAGTTGCTTGCAAGCAGATGTACAGCATGTGCCCTGTGTCTCCTGTGAGTACAGTGGAGTGAAGGTGACTGAAATATGCTTGGCTCACATATTTTGTACCTTTCCAGGGATTCCCACTGAGATTCCTGTTCCCTCACAGTCTGGAGATGCCCCTTACATGTTAAAGCCAAGCAGGGCTTGAGGACTTTCATCGTGTGATGTGTGCAAAGGTTTCTTGCATTTTATGCTATTTTAAGGTATAAATAAAAGCCATGCATCAAGTTGTTGCTTTTATAAGCAATAACATTCGGTAAAAAATCACATTCACCTTTCATTCACTCATACCTCCAGAGAAATGGGGACCATTTGTCCCGAGCTACATGGCCATAACTGAGAACAGGCGCAGGGGGCTGGGAGGAGCTCTTTGGGTTTATTTTAAGGGAAGTTACAGGTCAATAAGCATAGGTATGTCCCTCACAGTTGTACCCAGAGGCTGTGCTGAGTGTACGTGTGCAGCTCATAACGCTCTGCAATGTTATTCAAGGAGCACAGCACCGAAACCGCCGCTTCTGCCTTCACGCAGGGCCGGTGCAATGAATGACAGAGCAAAGGCAAAGCCTTTGCCCGAGGACAACTTACACTTTCTGACAGCTGAGGTCCACGTAAGCCACCCTAGTGGGAACACAGTCAATAAAGATAATTGTATTTGTTTAACTCGAGAGGCTGATAGTGTGTAGGTGAAAATACAATATCAGAGCTTGCTGGGTACTTAAAAACCCTTTTCAAGGGAGTCCTGGTGTTTTAAGCAGGGGAAAAATACTTCTAAACTGGAAACAAACAACAAGCGTTTGAAATTTTACACTACTTAAAATTGCTGGGGAATGTTGACTTGGTAGTTAGCAGTCTTCTCACGTGAGTCACATTTGAACATTGCATTTTGTCAAGATAAAAAAACTTTGCTTTCTTTTCCCTTTTTGCTTAGTTTTGTTTACACATACGTCACACTAGATACAATACAAATTCCCATAAAAAATCAGTGGCAATCTATTCTGCCTAAACTTTGGGCCTCTCCCAAATAGTATCCACTGAAGAAATCGTCATATTTTTGATGGCTGATGATATCTTATATGTGTATGATAAAACTAAACTTACATCTTTAGGGGCAATTTACGGTCAGAAATAATTTCTACTTTTTTACAAGTTTGAAGGATTATCAGACTATTGCTCTGTTGGGGCAAAACTTGGGAGGAGGTAAGARAGACTTACTGCAGTCCCCTCTGTTCTCTTGGAGTTTGGTCAGTACTGGTCAGCACTAATTTGCAACTTCTTTGGTCCCTCTTGCTTCCCTTTTGTTTTTTTCCCTCTAAACCTCTAGGAAAACTAGAGGTTTTTTGTTTGTTTGTTTGTTTTGAAATAACAGGAAGATAGAGATGGGTACCGTCACCTGAGAGCATAAGAGGATGGAGAGATTTTATAGAGATAGCAGGAAAAGCTCAAATTCTACTTCCATTCTTCCAAAAATGGGAAACCCTAAGAAACTTCCTGGCCTTGGCCAGGTACAGAGGAGTAACTTGATTCCTGTGATATAACCAAGGCCAGGCCACACACGTGAGCTGTCAATTGCCACGCACAAATAAATAATCCCCTGAAAAAAACACAGAAGCCTTCCTGCTATACATTTTATCAAATTCAGTGGTTTTCTTCAAGGAGGCTAACACTGAATAAGCGCATCAACAAATATTTCAGCGAATGTTTTTGCTGTGTGTAATTCAGTRCTTTCAAAGAACATGGAATTGATTTAAGGTATTTCTCACAACCTGTACTTCTGCACTAGTTTACTTWATATGCTTATATTTGTATTTATGCATATGCACACACACATATCTCTCACATATATACGTTTATGTGTTTCTATTCATAAAAACAAAATTTGGAGCAATGTAGCCCAAAGTTTGGCAGAAATTTTGGGGAGTTTCACCTTTCCTTCCATTCATTCTAGATTATGCATCCGCTGTGATATCCTTGGGTTTACCGATGCGCACTTGATGCTTTTCCTTCCTTTTCCCTTTCCCCTTTCCCTTTCCCCTTTCCCTTTCCCCTTCCCCCTTTCCCCTTTCCCCTTTCCCCTTTCCCTTTCCCCTTCCCCTTTCCCCTCCCCTTTCCCCTTCCCCTTCCCCTTCCCCTTTTCCCTTCCCTTCCCTTCCC